AATATGCACAAGAAAGCCATAGCATGCAATGGCACCATGTTGACCAGTTAACACATACGACAGCAAATATAATGGGGAGGGGTATATGGGTGAAAGTGCACAAGGAAAATGTTTAAAGAGATAACTAAGAAATTAAGGAGGAAGAATTTTTTTTTCTTTTTAGAGAACTTTCAAAATAGTCTGGTTAACAGTGTGATGCATGACAACAGAAATCCTATTACAAGAGGCTTTTCAGTTCATGCTAAATTCTCAAAATCATAATTGGATCATTGCTTTCAGAAAAACTTTTAAACTATGTCAGATGATATCAATAAGTATAAAATATTAAAACATTTTCTAAGTTATTAATGCTTAAATGTAGATACATTTTTAAACAGCAAAAACAAAAAAAAAACCCAAAAATCTTACAATTTTCCCTAACAAATAAATTTGAATAAAATCCAATGATTGAGTATTCTTTAATATAGAAGCAATTATACAAGCAGAAATAGAACACAAAGTGATATTCACATTTTATCTATTACAATGAATTAAACTTTATTAGGTTACAAGTATATGGATTAATTGTGGATATAATCAAACATGATACTGAAAAATCATTGTTTATTTGAAACTTGAAGAATTGCAAACTTTTTAATCTTTATACTTGTCAACAGCTATACTTAAAGCACTTTTTAAATGTTTATCAAATAAAAGGAACTAAACTGATAGACTGAGGAATCCAATTTGTAAATCTACTTTTTATAAAGATATCCTTACTGACATTTTGTCATTCCCTTTTACTGTTTTCCTATGTGTATTCTCTTTCTGATCCCAAATTTTTAAGGTTTACAAGTTTTAGTGACATTTCTTCAAAGAGTTGAGCTTCATGTAAATTTAAGACCTACTTGGCTGCAACTTAAGAGAGCCCCAGTCTATGATGTTATTTAACCAACAATGATGAGGAGAAGAGTTAGATTAATGTCTTTCCCAAAAGCATTTGTGTTTAGTGAATGTAAGAGATGAGATAAGAATAGACTAACAAAAAAAAAAAACAAAAAAAAAAAAACAGATTACTTTTTAAAAAACAAAAGAATTAGAAATTATGAGTTGAAGATATAAATTTTCAATAATATTATTTGTATATTATCCAAGAATAAAGTGAATATTAAATATCAGTGAGATATGACAAAGTTAATTTCGAATAAACATTCTAAATGACCAAATAGCTTTTCAAAAACAAAAGAAAAAAAAAAAACAGATTTTATTAGGCAAGTTAAGATTTTCATAATTGCTGTTAACCAAAATAATGTGTGTGTGTGTGTGTGTTTCAGTGAAGGATCACAACTTTTCAGTACCAAAAGAGGATGAGGGCCATTCTATAAATACATCTTAAAATATTTTTTGGGGCAATAAACTTTTCAAAGTATGAAAGAGCAATTATTTTGCACAAATATGTCATTTAGCTTAAAGCATCTTCCACTATTTAAAAAAGAGAAAAAAATGTCTTCTCCAAGATCAACTTTGATGTGATCTATAATACTAACCTAAAACATTGTTTCACTTGGCTGTATTCTAATTTCTAATGACTATTTCCATGAAAGACCCAACTTCTAATCCAGCCATCAGGTTCATCCAATGTAGCTCTACATTCATCACTAAAAATTATTGTTGTGAATTCATTTTTCATATCATTCTTTGTCCAACTCATGTGTTGTTCTTTGTTATATTTACTTAAAAATGATAAGTTTATTTTCTTGCCAATATTTTTCAGATTCAGCATCTTTTCTTTCTGCTTACATTCATAACAATATCTTTTTGTTAGTCAATTCAATTTTCTTGATGATTATCTTTGATTTTCTGTAACACTTTGAGACATTTTACAATCCAATTTTTTTTTTCCTTTTTCTTATCTTGCCAACGTTTTCAATTTCTTCTTTGATTGTTCTATGGCTCCCTTTTTAATATCTTTTCTTTTTTGCTCTATTCTATATTATGTTCCCATCACTCAATTTTATAATATCGTTTTTATTTTGAGGTTATATCTTATGACCAATGACAGTCTTTAGATATTCGAAACTTAAACAATTATCAATGACACACACACTATATATATATATATATATATACATACACACACAATAGAATGGCTAACTCCTACACTGTATAATAATTTACGATTTATTGTAAATATTTTGTTTAAAACTGATTATCATGAAAATATTACAATCTTTTTGATTTACATAAAATCTGACAGCATAGATCCTATCAGCAATTTTGTTTCCATTGCATTTTTTTAACTTAAGAGGAAGAAGGTTTTAAATAAAATAAACTTCCGATGTTCATTGTTCACCAAAATCCAAAATTAAAGCTAACCATATGAGGCAAGAAGAAAAAAGAAGTCATAATTTAAAATTTCAATTGTAGAAAGAAAACATTTTACTTTCAAACTCTAAGGCACTGTGAAAAGCATCTTCTGGTGTAAGGAGCACAATAATAATGAGAGAATGTTGCAATAATAAAAACTACAAACCAAGACAGCAAAAGACTGGTAAAACACAATATACAGAAGAAGAAAAAAAAAAAAAAAAAAAAAAAAAAGAAAAGACATGCAGGAAATTAGTTAAATTTTTTAATGTTTTGCATACAAAATGGGCAGTCAAGTTTTTTTTCCTTCTCCCATAACATTTCTTAAATACATCAATCATCAAGTAAAAATGAGTAAATATATCACTTTAACTTCCAAAGAAAAATAAAGTTCAGTAATATGAGCAACTACTAGAATCCCAATGTAAAGTATAACTATATTGAGGTGGTAGCCAGTATCTGGAAATTTATTTGCACTATGATTTATAGAATATAATAGTTTTCAATTCCTACTACAGATAAAGTGTTCATCATGTGTGTATGCATGTGTGAGATCAGGTTTGGTACAATAATTCTATTTTATTAATTTATATCTATTAATTGATCAACATGAAAAAAAAAATACAATTGGAATCCAATGTTTACTTCAATCTTGTAAAATTAATTTTTAAATTAAAAATTCATACATTTTAAGGTCATTTTAAATTCCTAAAAATTTCAACAACTACAAAACTTAATAAATTTGTAATGAAAAATTGAAACAAACTATTTTTAATACATGTGTATGTGTTTTATCTGGTGCAAATGAAAAGCAAGAAAAAAAGCACATTGTAATTTTTAAATGTAATCTTTTCAACAAACAAATAAGTATACAATTTTCTGTTTAAACCTGTTTTTAGTATATAAAGTAAATTTTGAGAATTAATTTAAGAATTTTTCATGACAAATGCAACTTTTCAGTTGTCTGTATTTATATGAAGAGGGTTTCTTCAATTGTCTGACAAGGTATCTTCAGTATGATTGATTAAACATAGCATTTGGTATCTATTTCTAGTAAAATGTTTATATTTTAAAACTATGCATTGAAAAATAAACTGAAATGAATAGAATGAGCAAATTTCTGAATATTTACAGTTTTCTAAAGATCCAAATGTTTTCAGTTGTTAAAATAATCAATGAGGTTCTTTAATATTTCAGAAATTTAAAACAATCAAATACAAATTTCAAATTATTATATTAAAAAGTATTTTGTTTGTCATGGGTAAATTATTATTAGAACTAAGTAAGTGTCCATTCAGACAATTATCTATATAGTCATAAATTTAATGATTACTTTGTGTTCAAGTAGTATTTGATTGATAGCAAAGGCAAGGAACTAGAGATCTCTTGAAAAGTAGCTATAAGAAAGAATGTCTTTCCTGGATTACACATTTATTCTTTTACCAACATAGCAAGGAATGGAGCACTTTTTCATTATTATAAAAGTGACCAGAAAGGAAATATAAGACTATATACTTATCAGTGAATTAATTTTTTCTTTGGAAATCTCTATTAAATAATTGTGAAGAGTCCAGGGAAATAGAGAATTGATTGCAATATTTGAAGTATAAAATTTTACAAAATTTTAAATCACTTTATAGTAAAATAAAAAAAACAAAAAAAAAAAAAAACAAGACTAATTATTTTAAAAGGTATTGACAATGTAATTAGATGGCAGTTCTGAGTTTATTCTGAAGGTTTAAATTAGAGTATTATGAAGAGTACAGTTAAACTTCTTTTAGTATTGGGAAATATATTTCAATGTAAATTTTGCAAAAAACTGGAATAAAATGGCTAACAAGTTTTTCAGGTAATATTTCAAGGTTATACCAAACATAAATATTTAGCTAACAACATATCACCTTTAGGAATCTATTGGTTAGACAGAAAGAAGTATTCTTGTCTCTCTTTTTGGGTATATGCATAAGTTGAACTATTTAAAAAAAATATAAATACTTCAGGTTAAATGGAAAACTGATAGCCTCAGAGCAGGACCAACTGTGCAAGAATAGAATCTAATGTAATATTTTGCCCATTTTTAAGCAAATGTTAAAAAAAAAAAAATAAAAAAAAAAAAAAAAAAAAAAAAACCATTGCTTACAGGGACCAAAATCAAAATGCAGGGTTCCTGATGAGTTCTAAGTGGAATTCACTTTATGTCAAGACTTTACTTCTTCAAGTCTAACATCACAAGAAATAGAATTTGTTTTTCAAGAAAGTTACCTTGAATGTTTATACTGAAAGAATCCAAGTCAAAATAAATTTACAAAAGTAACAATCAGATTTACTTCTCAGAAAATTTACATATGATTTTCTTTCTTGTTAGGTAATAATATTTGTTTTAAATGATGACCAATGCTTATAAGAATATTGTTCGGGTTAAGGATGTTTCTTGTCATGCAGAGGACTTAATTTATTGGCTTAATGGATTAGTGTTACTGGTTAATGTGACTGCTCTTTCAAATGACAATTAGGATCTAACAGGCATCCCAGAATATGGACGGGTTGGGAGAGGCTGCATCTCCAAAATAAAAACAAAATAAACAAAAAACATGTGGGGTAGTATAATATATATATATATATATATATATATATAGGATCCAAGAATTACATACGAGTACAAAGGTTGCAGCTGCATATGGGAGCCTTTGCCCTGTGACTGATAAGAGGTATAGGAGTCAAATCCTCCAATGAAGTCAACTGGAACAGAGGAAAGAAAGAAAAACTAAAACAGAAGCATTCATTGGTATTTTTTATGGAATTCCAGGTTATTAATGAAGAGTGGAGATAGCCTCTGACATTATTAATCACAGCATTTTGTTTAGGGGGGAGGGGGCAAATAAATCAAGTCTGCATTATTTTTCTCCCTCTCCTTTGAAAATAAAAAAGGTAAAATGAACTATTACAAGTACATTTTTTTATTTTATTAAAATCAAAGCATAATAAAACTAGTCTATAAAGAAAGTTTAAGAAATTATAAAAGAAACTTCAAGGATTTAAAAAGTAAATTTTCATAGTTACCTGCTGATACTGGAAAGGTAAAGAAAATTGTAGAATGCAGACAAAATAAATACATCAAATAAAATAATGCATAAAAAGCTTAATGGAGAGTGCAAAATAATTTTTGAAAATTTCATTCAAGGCATAATATTTATAAAATTAATTGACAGTTTTGTGCAAGTTTGAAAATAAATAAATAAAAAGCCTGAAAACAAAAAACAAATCTCATCAGCAACTGACAGGAATGATAAATTTTCTGTGAATCACTTATAAGCTTATAGTTTAAGACAAAAGCAGAAATGAATTTAGCAAACTTTATAATAAATTATCACCATGCTTTGACTAATATAAGTACAGGATTGGTTTTATATATATATATATATATATATATATATTAAAATATAACAGACAATGAATGCCTTATGTCTGATCATGAGCCGTTTGAATGTTTGCTTTAATTTCTGGTGAAAATAAAGTCAAAAAATGTCCAACATTTGGATTTTTTTTTTTAAAGTTGGTCCTAAGCTTTTGGCCCACATGAGCCATCCTCAGAATGGTTATACACACACACACACATATATATATATATATATATATATATGTATGGGGGAGAGAGAGAAAAGTAAAATTGAAAAGGTCATTAACATTCAGGTATAAAAAAGTAAAAATAATGAATGTCCCAAAAAAATGGATCCCAAAAAAATGAATAATAATCCTTCATTGTGATGGGAGAAAATATAGGTTTGATTTTTCTGGACTGAATGTTGGTAATATTCAATTAATTAAAAATTACAAGACAACACTAGTTGTAAAAGGTTGACATTCTACAGATTTAGCACAAGCATCTAATTATCATGTATTCTCCAGTACTTGTTTCTATTTAATGAGGCTCTATTGTTAACATCTATTCTGGGTGAGTGTGTGTGTGTGTGTGTGTGTGTGTGTGTGGGTGGGGGGTTAGGTCATCACAGAAAATTGTGATGGCTTGTATCTATGGTTTGAGTAGCAGTGAAGATGTTTAAAAGTTTGAGAGATTTAATATATAAGTAGTTTTAAGAATGTTAAAATGAAGTTTAAACTTTAAATAAATAATCTATTAAAATCTTTAAAATAATTTCAGTTTGCTACTGAATTAAAATATCAATCTGAATTTCTCAAATAAGGAATTATCATGATATACCAATTTATTCAAACTCTTGTTTTTATGCCGATTGTTATAGTAACAATGTTTTGACCATTGTACTCTCGTGTTATCTTCAGGTGTGTCATATCAGTAACAAATCTTTATTCAATTCACAGGAGCAGACTATTCTTATTCTAGTATCTGGGGAAAAAGGATCTTTTGCATTAATTATTTTTGGTTAATTTATTTTTGTGATGCTGCTTATGCTCATTCTGCTCAACCCCATCACTTATACTGATTAAATTTATGCAGTTTACCTGGTGGCTGAAAGTTTGATCCTTGGGTCAAATGGAGATTTTTTTTTTTTTTTTTTTAAATATATTGCAATAATTTTAATATCTTTGAAGTTTTAATTTTAGTTTTAATTACAATAGCAGAAAGTTGGTTATAAAAATAAAAAAAAATTGCCTGTTTAAAAGCAAATTTTTAGATGACAAAAAAAATGAAAAACTACATGATTAATGTATGCCAACAGAAAATTTAAAGACTGTAATTAAAAATAAACAAATAAAAATCTTTTAAAAATGAAGCAGCCAGGATATAAATAGAGAATTCAACGAAAATTAGTTAATTTAATGATTGCTGAATGGGATTTTGAACTTTATAAATTTTTTTTATTTAAAATGTAGTTAAAGACATTTGCTCACAACTTGTTTCTGTTACCTCTCAACTCGGTTCAAAGGTCAAGTGAGTATTAAGTAGGCTTCCCTTATTCATAGATGCAATGAAAACTTAATTAAATATATACAAGTGTCTTATGGACAACTGAAGTATGGATGACTAAAACCTGACATTACTCATGATGACAAAATGTATATTCCAAAAATTAAAACACTGTCATATAATGAGCAACACCCCAGAAATATGTAATAGTTGGAGGAAAAGCAACTATCTTAAAAAAAAAAAAAATAAAAAAATAAAATTCTTATAATACATACATTTCAGAAGAAATAAAAGTGAGTTATAAATTATTAAAAATTTCTTAAAAAAGAAAGTTTCAGCTTTTTATATTTTTTGTTGCCTACAAAACTTCTGCAGAATTTGACAAAATTTTAAAATCAAAACCAACTGACATTACAATATTGTATAAGGATAGCTGACCATCTTTTTTACTCGTTCTATTCAAGTGGATAGAAGTAAAAACATTTAAAATATTTGTTTTCAGTTAATTTTCCTCTTTTTGTTAGAACTTTTCATAAGAGATTTTAGACCCGAATAAATGTTATAAATCTTATTTACAATATGAAACGTGTTCAGCTAAATATATAAAAAATAGTGGACAATAAAATTTCAGTGTTATGGTTACTTTGCCCAGGTCAATCAAAGGATTTCTATATAATACTCTATCAATAGCATGTAATTTAGTATAAAACATTTCTTAATTGTTAAAGTGTTATATAGGAAATTATGAGATTAAATTGGATTATATTTCATGTGCCACATAGATGGGGATTAAATAATTCAGCATCAATTGCTCCAAGTAAAATCTTTCTTTCTCATGAAACAACCACCTTGATAATCAGACAGAGGTTTACAAAACAATAGATTAATACATATAATCTATTTCAGTAATGTTTTTTTTTCTTCTTTTTCATGTAAAGGAAACTAAAAGTAATCCCAATAAAAAAAACAGGTTGATAGGTGGATTGTAATGCAGACCTTAAAACTGTACTTATTTTGTTTATACAAATCAACGAGTCTTAAAAGTAATCATAGATTCATGGTCTGTGTATGAATTTTAATCACTTATTTTTAGTTCAAATATTTAAAATCAGAAAAATCTCATATCAACAAAAATATAAATAAAAAAAATCATGTTTATTTTTAAAAATAAATTTAATCCTTTTATAAAGTCATTCCTTTCTTTATAACCAAAATATTTTGTTGATATTCTTCTTGAAAATATTATTTATAGTTTACAAGTCTGTCAAGCCTAAACTGCTAAAAACAGCCACAGGAGAAAATGTCATCCTTGGCAGACAAAGATTAAAAGTCATTTTGGTAATAAATACTTTTTTTTTTTATCAAAGCATAATCTCATTTAGTGTTCAAATATTGCCATGGTAAACAACATGCACAAGAATGTTCTTAGGTAGAAGACAGAGACACCCCACTTCCTTGGGCCCAGTGCCTGTTGGCATTAACAGCATTCTGAATAATGTAGGGATTATCTGTAACTGTTGAAATCTGTCAGGTCTTTTTTGGTTTTACAGACATACTATCTGCACACCATATCTTAATATTATAGGCACAGCTTCAGATAACCAAGTTTTCCTCCTAGACTGGTTGCTAAGCATGATTAGTGAGCCTACTCTATCCTGCTGTTTAACCCATAGCTGGGAAGAAATGGATTCATACCTCTCCCAAGAGTATTTGTGCAAAAGTGAACGCAACAAACTGAACTGAAATACAAATTTGGCTCGGATTTTTACCAATATGAAAATTGGTTATTATTCAGTTGTTTTTAATAAACAATCAGATATTTTCCTAACAAAGAAAGTTTATTTTAGATTAATAAGAAAATTTCTTCAGATATATTTTAAAACCAAAGCAAACAAGTTTCTGTCTTCAGTTGGTGATTAATATTTATTGCCAATTAATAAACATTAATTGGAAAGACCTTTTGCTTCAATTTCACTCATTTGAAATGGCTACAGAGATTTTTAAAAATAATTATTGATTATTATCAACAACAGTTTCATGAAATTAATATATATATATATATATATATATATATATATATATATATATATATATATATATATATATATATATAGTAGTAGAGCCCGGCGTTGCCTGGGGATGTAACAGTAAGAGATAGATTAAGTATTGACCATCATAAAGACTGAAAAATAAAATTGACAAAGATTATTGTTTAAGGGTTGACGGACATGCATGTCTTAATTAGTTTTTTTTTGTTTTGTTTTTTTATGAATTGGTCAAACCCAAACGAAAACATTGTTTTCAATCGTTATGTGTCTATTGATTGAATAGAATTTTATTATAAACAATTGTCTTGTAAATGGAATTTTTAAAGCATTCTGAATGTAAAAATAAAGAAAAAAGTGTGCAAGACAATAAGAAACACTACCTGCCAAAAAAAAAGAAGTTTTGTTGAAATCGGTTGAAAAACGTAGGAAATCCGATCCCATATATAAAGGAACACACACACACAACCTGGGTTTTTATAAGTATAACTCAATATGAGTTGTCCCCCTTTCATTCTTGTGATGCCTCTTAATCATGTTTTCAAATTGATTTCATGCAAAAACAATTGTGTTTTTCCAATTTTTGGTGGTGTCAGAACAACCACAAGGTAATTTTACGTAGTCCTGTGAAGTTTTGTTGAAATCGGTTGAAAAATGTAGGAAATCTGATCCAATATATAAACGTACAGACACAACCTGGGTTTTATAATAAGTATTACATACATATATATATATATATATATACACACACAAACGTGTGTGTGTGTGTGTGTGTGTGTGTGTGTGTGTGTATATGAATATAAATAAAT